AACGCCGCGAATGAGGAAGACCATGTTTCGATGTCGATGACGGTGGATGGAGTTGAGTTCGCTTGCTTGGCCTTGCCGATCACAGATGACGTACCCAACAGCCACAGGGAGGCCATGGCGTCGCGACAACGGGGCGAATGGACCAAGGCCAGCAACTTGAACTCGAGCAGCTCAACGACGTCGGGACGTGGAAACTCGTGTCTTTACCACCTCGACGAAAGGCATTCGGGTCGCGGTGAACATACGCCAAGAAAACCAACTCCGACAGCGTCGTAGTTCGCTACAAGGCCCGTTTGGTGTGCAAGGGCTACAGTAAAGTAGAAGGGATCGACTATTCAAAAACGTACTCCCCTGTCGTGAAGATGGCAACTGTTCGCACCTGCGCCGCATTCGTAGTCGCAAAGGGGTTCGTCATCGTTCAAGCTGACGCCGACACGGCCTTCGTTCAAGCCTCCATGGACAATGGCATTATGCTCTACGTCGACCAACCACCCGGTTACGCCGACGGCACCAAGCACGTGATGCTGCTCATGAAGGCGCTGTACGGACTGAAACAAGCAGCGCTAGCGTGGCACGACCACTGCCGCAAGATCCTCGTCTCCGTCGGTTTCCGCCCCAGTCAGTGCGACCCATGCTTCTACATCAGAAGGTCAGGGGAGCAGATGGAATTCATACGATTTATGCCGACGACTTTCTCGTCATGACCAAGACGTACGACGCATACAACAGGATTCTCGCCTAGGAAATGCCGCATACTTCCTAGGGATCAAGATCAACTACGACGAGACTAAGCGTGAACTTACAATGTCCCAGTATGCCTACGCCAACAAGGTACTGGACCGGTTCGGCATAACCGACTGCCGTGGGTATGCTACTCCCGAAGTGGGCGACCAGGACAACCTATTGCACGATGAATCACAACCCTCGGCCGATCAGTCAACCTACAGATCCATGGTCGGATCACTCATGTACTTGATAGTGTGCAGACGATCGGACATCGCCCACGCCGTCCAACGTCTGTCTCGACACCTCCACGACCCGCGTGAACCCCACATGGTCGGTGCCAAATGTTTATTACGATACGTCAAGACGATTCTCGATCATGGACTCACGTACCGGACGAGCAACTGTGGACTCGTCGGCTACAGCGACATTAGCTGGGCCAATTGCAACGGACGCCGTTCGACCACAGGTTTTGTGTGTTTTTTTGGCGGCAGAGCAGTGTCGTGGAAGTCCGCACGTCAACAGGTCGTGGCGCTGTCCACCTGCGAAGCTGAGTACATCGCGTTGGTGGGGCTTACGAAGGAAGTAACCTGGCTCCGCGGCCTTTTGCAAGAGTTAGGTGTCAATCAAAATGCACCGACACTTACCTTGTGCGACAACAAGTCGGCTTTTGCGACAGCCGAGGGGAGCGGTGTCAGGGAGCGGAGCAAACACATGGACGTCCGGTTTCACTACGTCCGGCAACTGGTCGTCGACAACACTATCGCTATCCACCACGTCGGGACCGCCGACCAACTCACCGATATCTTGACCAAAGTGTCCACGAGAGACGCCATCACGAAGTTCAAGAACGCCGCGATGTCCACCGCAAGCCATGCCGAAGATGCAAGCTGGACCGCACAGGTTGACCCACAACCAACATAGGGGAGTGTTGAGGATGTTGGTCGTTGATCAACAATCTGCATGTTCATATAGGAGCTACCACAGTCATTCATATCCACAGAGGTCGGAGGTTTATAACGAACAGTAATTCACTCTTGAATCTACTCCACTGGCCTTGCAGCCATCAGCTCGCTCTTCCTCGCTTCAACACCTTCATGGTACATCTTCAGACGGCACGCATGATGCGTGGGCAATCCGAATGGAGGCACCAGCTGTTGAGTCCCCATAACGTGGTCCTTGAATACGCGCACAACTTGTTCTGACACGCGTCACTGCAGGACGAGCTTTATCGGCCGTTGAACGACAGCACCGACCAAAACAAAAACGCCCACATTAAAGTTTGCAATCTTGACACGCGTTTTTTGTCGAGTTGTCGTCTTGCTTATCGTCGTAGCTTTTCGCTACGCGAGTACACCTCACGGTGCACCGCGTTCATGGTGATCTTGAGGCTCGCCATAAGATTATCACGGACATCATCGAGCATGTCCGTGAATATCTCTTCCTTCGTCGATGGGTGTACGAACCCTGCTAGAGGTGTCTTTGACTTCAGACCTTTAAAATCCGTCACAGGTGCTACCTTAGCGAGCCTGTCGAAAGCTGGTGATACAACGCGATTTACACTACTGGCAGAACTAGGTGCGATTCGTCGGCACGCAATTTCATCTAGCTGAGCAAGGCCTTCAGCTTCCGTAGAACAAGACGGTTGACCGCTTCAACTGCTCCATTTGCCCAAGGGCTGTATGCTGTCGTGGTGCCACCATCATGCGCACTTATACGATGACTTCGTTCTTGATGCAAACAACCATCAGATACCCATGTGTCCACGAAGCCATATAACGTGAACCAGGACATCAACGCAATTGATGTATTGGATGCTTCAGCGACTTCAGCTGAGCACAAGTGGATAAGCCCGCGCATATCGTCCTTGATGATAAGGACGTGCTTCAACCCACTTGGTGGGTCTGGCATCGACAGTCAGTCAAAGTGAATCAGTTTGTTTGGCTTCTCGGCGTGCAGGGCCGAGCCCAAAGGTCGAGGGGCCATGTCTCCATCCTTTTGGAGGCAATGAAGGCACGCTCTTACAAAAGTATCCACATCTTCGACCAATGTGGACAACGCAAACATGCCTGCCACCGACTTTGTCGTGGCGGCAATTTGACAGCGTCCTGCCGCGCCTTGAAAAGCGATAACGCAGAGGCGTTCCTGGAAGCACGCGGCATGGTCATGGACCAACCAACGGCCGCGAGTTCCACACGCGCCAGGGTCGTTTTCTAACTCCTAATTCTAAACCAACTAAAATTCCCGAAACGCCGCCTTGGCGGCCACGTCCATGAGACGCCGGAGAGGGTCAATTACTCTATTGGTTTGTTTTCATTAACTATAGAAGGTATTGTAGTCGGGGATGCTGGCGTGCATCCAATTCGTTGCACACACAAACTGCTGCAGATCGGCAGCAGTAGTTAAAGGTACCAAATCAACAAGATCTTTAATGCGGCTGGAGGAATGCTTCACGCCAGCTGCCGAAATCACCTTGCCGCACCATTCAGCTTCACACAAGAAGAAACGGTACTTCTTTGGCCTGAGCTTCAGTCCGCACGCAGAGCAGATGGACAGCACTTGGTCCAACAAATCGAACAAGTCCGCCGTCATCTTGGTGGACCCAAGGTGGTCGTCCTACCTGTTGTGAGTCCGCTCCTTGTTTGTCCGCAAGGCGTCTTCCTTTCGGGAAGCAATGCAAATCTAAACTGGGTTACTTCTCTTTACCCTCCTAGTCAATTCACTTCGTTCCCTTCAATACAGTAGCAATTTGCCAGGACGTCCAGGTAGTCCTGTACTAACTCGTCCCGTACGAATCCATCCAACATCCAGCAACCGACCTCAGCAAGGTTGACCTGGACTCGGGGCGCACTCGACCAGAACACTTCCCCCTACAACGGGTGACCAAGGGTGAGTTCCAACGCCTGCCGCATCGCTTCCACGCCGTCGTCATGCTCGTGGGACAACACCCACTTGCGCAACAGTACGGGAACGTCTTCGTACAGGTTGAGGGCTGGTTCCCATGACGCCTCTTTGTTTTTGAGGCCGAGCCACTTGACCAGGATTTGATGCTGGCCGTTGACAGCACGGGCAGCCAGGAGGTCTTCCACATGGAAACCACCTTCACCGTAGGCTGCTTGCTCCAGCAGGTCTTCGGCCGTGCCATTCGCCGCCTCGCAGTACATCTTGAGACGGCAGGCATGGTGCACAGATTCGTTAAAAGGGGGTGCCAACTGTTCGGTCGCCATTACAAAATCGGTGATTACTCGCGTAATTCTGGAGGGACCACGCCACGTCAGGGCGAGCTTGCTTGGGTGCCGCACAACCGAACCCACGAGCACGAAGTCACCCACGTCGAAGGTGGTCCACTTGACTCCTTGTTTCTTTGCATGCCTAGCCCTGGCTTGAGCTTCTCGCTACGGGCTGATGCTTGACGGTGCATCTTGTCCAGCGAGTCTAGCAGGCTTGCTACATGTTTGGCGCGTGCATCGTCGAGCCAATCCACATCAAGCACCTCCTTGGTCGTTGGATGCACGATCCCGTAGAGGGGCGTGGACGCGTCAATCCACCAAACGCCGTCGCCGAAGCTAGCCCACCGAGCCGGTCAGACGGCTGGTGGTTTGTGGCGCCTAGCACGAGGGGTAGTACCGTCGGCCACTGAGTTGCTGGGAGTCGCCATTCGCTCAGCAGTGCCTTCGTTGCCCGGAGTAGCATCCGGTTGACGACCTCGACAGATATGTTCGCCCAGGGGCTGTACGCCGTCGTCGCGTGATGGTGGGCACCAACTGGCTTGCGCACCTTTCAACCACCTCGTTCTTGAAATGGGACCCGCCGTCGGAGACCCATGTCGCGACTATCCCGAACGTAGTGAACCAGTCCATGAGGGCGGCGGCCGTCGCAGTCGAGTCTGCAGTCCGGGACGGGAACAACCGAACGAAGCCACTCATGCCGTCCTTGACTACGAGGACGTGCTTCAAACCTTCGTCTGACTTGGGCATAGTCAGCCAGTCAAAATGGATGAGCTCGTTGGGACGCTAGGCGTGCAGGGATGAACCCAAGGGGCGGGGCACCATGTCACTGTCCACACACATGCAATGTAGGCACCCCGTGACGAAGCCGGTCACGTCGGCCTTGAGATTGGTCCACTCGAACCTCGTCGCGACTGCCTGTGTCGTCGCCGCCACGCGACGGTGGCCAGCAGCACCTTGGTGGGCGATCACGCAGAGCCGCTGTTGGAAGTCCAGGTCGTCGTCCGGGACCCAAATCTTGTCTCACGGAGTGACATAAACTTTGATGTCGTCGTCCCAAGTAACTCCAGGGGGAGGTTGACCGTCGTCCTGGAGGCCATTCTTCTGGGACTTGAGGACCGAGTGAGCTGTCGGCCACTCGAAATCCTTGTGACGCAGGGGTGATTCTAATGCTGCGAGACGTCGCACCCCAGCGACTAAGTAGGTCACCCCACAAGTTGTCGTCACCCGACACCAACTCAATGGTGTACGGGAAGGTAGACATCACCAGCGCCCAGCGCTGCAGCTTGTCAGCTTGATACCTGGCCACGTTGGGACTTTGGCCACGCGGGTTGAAGATGTAAACCAAGTTGCGGTGGTCCGTGAACAGACGGAATCCACCTGGTCGAATCAACAGGTAGTCGAGGCGATTGCACGCCTCGACCACGGCGAACGCCTCCTTCTCCACAATAGGCCAGCGCGAACTGGCCGAATCAAACGAGCCGCTTAGAAATGCTAGTGGCTCGTGGCGTTGCTCAGACAGGGGCAGCTCTAGGTTCTCGGGTGGGACATGGGTCGCAATCGCGCCCCAGAACCCGTCGCTCGTGTCCGTTAAAAGATTTACGGCCATGTCTTCTCGGGGTTGACTAAACGGTACGATGCTGGTCATGGCCTTTTTCACATCCTCAAAGCACATCGTATGCTCGACAGCCCACCCCATGGCGCTGACCGGTATCTTGGCCAAGACCGATTTCTTAGCGCTCCGTGACAGTTTCGTGCCCACGTCCAGGAGTCGACACAAGGGATCAACGAGCTGGCTGTACTCGGGGATGCTCGACCGCATCCAATTGGTGGCGCAGATGAACTGCTGGAGATCTACGGCGGTAGTTGGCAGCGCCAATTTGCACAACCCTCGAACTGGAGCAGGGGCGTGGGTCACGCCGGCAGACGAGATAATTTTGCCACACCATTCAGCCTCGCGGAGGAAGAACGAACATTTCTTCGGATGCAGCTTCAACCTGAAGGACTCGCAAATCTCCAGGACCTGCTCCAACAGGTCAAACAGTCCCATCGGCGTGGTCGCCGCGCCCAGCAGATCGTCCAGCCAGGCAAGTAAGCCGCGAAATAGGAGCTCGCCGAACATTTGGTGGACGGCCGACTGACAAAACGCAACGGTGTCAGTTGGCCCATCAACACGCGCGGGCAGTCGGTGTGTCGTCCACCACCACCTGGGTTGCCACACCAGCCTTCTCCAGAGCCGCCACCAGCCCCACAGATGCCACGTTGACGTTGGCATCCGTATCAAGTAGTAGGTTGTCCACCACCACGACGTCCGCCACGGTGGTACCTCCTTCGATCTTCGATCGAGTCGGGCCGAGATCGATTACATTAGCAGTCGGGACGCACCTCACGGGCATCCTTCCACTTTTGCATTTGCGCAGCTAGGAGGGCTTGCGCCTCACCAGAGGTAGTCTTTGGGCAGTCAGTGACCTTATGGTCCGTAGACTTACACTTCAGGCATGCCGCCGGCTTCCTTGCAGGGGCGAGCGGTGCGTCCGGCCTGGCCACCCCGTCCGAGGGCCTAGGCTTCACCTGGCCTGCTCCCCCGTCTAGCCTCTTCTCGTCAGGCCTCTTCGGCGCATGGCCACGGCTGTCAGGGGCTTTTGCCGGCTTGGAGGAATTCTTCTCGTTCTCGACCCCGCCGTACATTTGGTAGCCGGCTGCGAAAGTCCGCAGCTAATGAACGAAGCGAAACACATCCTTACGCAACGGCTTGTTGCGCTGCAGTTGCATTTGCTTCTTTACGGCCGACTGTAGCATCGAAGGCCACACCGCCTTGACCATGAGGTCCACGACAACCTTGCCTTCCTCGTAGAGGATCCACTGTAGCATCGAAGGCCGCACGGCCTTGACCATAAGGTCCACGACAACCTTGCCTTCCTCGTAGAGGACCCACTCCTGGTTGTCGCGCTCCAGGGCCCTCATGAGTTCGTCCAGCATCTTGCTAACACGAGACTCGACGTCGAGGATCTTTACGTCGAAACGGATCGTCGTTTCGAGGCGTTTCTTAAGCAAGTCCAGATCACGAGGCTCTTCCTCGAACGCCACGTTAAACCACGCAATCCACTCGGACTCCGCGATTTGATCGTAGGGAAGGTTAAAATCCCACAGCGCCACGCGCCGCTTGGTGAAATGGTCCATACACGCGGACACCGGCATAAGGGCGAACGAACGGTCTCGCTCCAGCTGTATGCAGCGCGTTGACTTGCGCCACATATTTCTGGTACGCCCGCAAAAAAGCACGACGCTCTTGCTTGGTTGAGCCACTAAAGCTCGGGGCTTGGGGAATTGCCGGCGCATGTACAGTACCACATACGGGGCGACTTCACCCATGTTATCGTCATCCTGGTCGCCATTACCGGCACCCGCCGGCTCTGGTCCAGCCGAAGGACCAGGAGATGTTTCTTCCTCACCAACCGGAAGGGGGACTTGGCTGGGATCTTGTGGCGTCCCAGTTGCCCGAGCATAACTGCTCCACGGCATGACCACGTCGATCGGCTGCGGCTGGCGTCGCCGCGGGGATCAGAATGGTGCAATAACCGGCTGGAAATCTCCACGCCGGCCACTCGTCTGGCGTCGGGAGGTACGACCACACTTCCTCGACCGCGACCTGTCGTCGTTGCCTCCAGGCGAACGCGATCGGTCTTGTTCTTCGTGATCATTCTCAGCCATTTCAGACTCGTAGTGCACTAAAGATATCATTGTTGTGAGTCCGCGCCTTGTTTGTCCGCAAGGCGTCTTCCTTTCGGGAAGCAATGCAAATCTAAACTGGGTTACTTCTCTTTACCCTCCTAGTCAATTCACTTCGTTCCCCTCAATACAGTAGCAAT